GGGGTCAGAACGGATTAACCGTATTTACATTGAACCTTATGGGAAAATTTGATTCGGGTCACAACCAGAGTCACGGAACAAATTAAGTTCGTGACCCAAGGTACCACTGTATTTAAAGGCCAACAAGCAATTATAACAAGTACCTGATCAGAAATGGATCCAAGTGTCTCCATAACTTATTTCAGAGAAGAGACATGAATTCCTAATCATCATTTCAGGTCAAACTGCCTGTTTTCCAACTGGCTCCATAGAAAATGCACTTGTGAGCACTGGCATTGGAGTCAAAGTTGTGACTTTGTGTTCTGTAAGTTAGCTGCTTCTTGTTCTTGTGTTCGGTTATTTGGGGAAGTATGTCTTTCTGTGAAATCCATGAATTCTGACTGGCTGCACCCACCATGCCCTCTCCCCCCAAATTTTATGATGGCACTTTTCATACTTTTTCAAAAATCCAAGCAAGCCTCACAAGCCAAAAACATTAAAATTTCTGATCAAAACACTTATTGGCCATTTTCACATAATACAAAGCAACAGTTGGTTGAACTATGCTTTACAGAATAAATCATAACTAGCTAAGACCACACAACATGCTAAACCATAAACCATAGTTACAAATCACACTGGTCAGTTTCACAAAACATGCAACTCAGACTCAAATCATTGCCAAAAGTAAGTGCAATTAAAACATTTTAACACTGACATGGACACCAGGCACCAATGACATGCATCATTCAACATCTGCATCCAGAATAATTATTCCCATTCATTTCTTTAACCATTCCACCCAACTGCCATTAACATACAACTGCCCCAACTTACTGATCATGACAGCCCGCCCTTTAGGATCCACAGCTAAGTACTGTCCTGGAACAATTCTGCGACAACCACTCTTGCCAAAAGTTTCCTGATGAATTTTCTCAAACACATTTTTAGAGGGCTGGTATTCCAGGATAACAATACGACCTGAATCACTGCCCACGACAATATAGTCCTTGGTCCCACCAGTTAATCTGAAGGCCATGAGGGAGCGAATGATGCCAAAAACTTCTACTGTCAACAAGGTATGAACCTTTCCGGTGTTTGGATCAGGACGAAGCAATTCCAAGATTTTCCCTCGGGAAACAACAATTTCTTGCTGTTTAGTACCTGTAAAAAACAAACTACAATCAGCAACTCAGGAGGATTAAAACCCTTCACTACCCCACCAATTTCAATCCTATCTGGTGGCAGTAAGAGCAGCAAAGCATCCATTCTCTTTACTTATTGTGTCCACAGACCCTGGGTGAGCAGTTTCAATCTATAATATGGGTGGGTGGAGCACTTGGGGTCATGGTTGCTCCAATGTGTGGCACCACAGGGCTCTCCTGCTCTCTCCCATATTACTTAACATCTAAATGAAGGCACTGGGTGAGGCCATCCACCAGTTCAAGGTGAAATATCATCAGTACACCGATGATATTCAGCTGTACAATAGCACCTGGGCCAAGAATCTGGAGGCTGTCAGGGGCAAAATAAATTCGGATTAAATCTTTCCAAGACGGAGTTGCAGAACATTGATAGATATCTGAGAGTGTCAATCCCAACAGTCAGCCAGGACGGAACTGTGCTCTTCACGAAGCAGTTGGTTACTGATCTGGGAGCCCTCTTGGAATCATTAATGCAGATTCCCCTTGCTTTATGCTAGGGTTAATTCCCCAAAACCTCACCTAACCTCACATATTTTGTAACCCAACTCTTTAAAGTGATTTTTTTTTTAGCATAAAGTGAATTCTTGAACAAAAATGATCAATTGCATAATAACAAATTTGCATAAAGCAAGGGAAACCTGTACTGCTTAAACATCAAGTAGGAGCTGTGGCTCTCCCCATCTTTGCCGAGTTTCATTTGGCGTGCAAGTTGCAAGTCTACATGGAGTAGGATGTTTCAGCAGTGGTAACGCGTGCCTTGATCACCCCCTAGCTAAGTTACTGTAATGCTCACTACTTGGGGTAGCCTTTGGAGACCACCTTGAAGCTGCAACTGGTCCAGAATGCAGTGGGGAAACTATTGGTGGGTAAATCCTACTGCTGGTAACACGCCTTCTAAAACTGCTGCACTGGTTACTGATGGGCTTCCAGAGGCAACTCAAAATGCTGGCAAGCACCAAGATACATTGGGCGTTGCCCTGCCATGGCTGAATCTGCCCATCCAGTAAGAACATCTTGAGAATGCCTACTAAGAGTCCTTCCTCCACAAGAGATTAGGAGAACATGAGCCAGATAACAGAGCCTTTTGTTGTGGCCTCTGCACTTTGGAGTTCTCTAAGGAGGTCTGTCCAACCACCTCCCTAATGGCATTTGAAAAGGCATCAATTCCACCCAGCTTTGAACTTTAGTTGTTTGCTAGTGGCACCCCTCTTAGGGAAGGTTGTCAGAGTTCATATCGTCACATCATGCCTGTTTTATGCTTTCGCTCTTTTGGAACTGTAAGTAAATAAGTAAATATTAGACCTTGACATCAGAATGAAGTTTACCTGAAAAGTTACCATGGATGGCATAGCTGATCCCAGTGGCCCGCTGTAGAGTTAAGTTGTACAGGAACATGGTGCCAGTTGATATCACTTCCTTTCAGCCCACCAGCTAAAAAAACAGTTAAGCAATTAATCACCTGTTTGGTGCCACAAAGGCTTCACAAAACATCCCAAATATCCAATAAAAGGATATCTTTTTACAAAATTTTGCAAGTCAATTAGTAAAGGGAAAAAACCACCTCTGGGACTAGAAATACTGTTAACACCCTTTTCACAACGTGTTTAACTCGCAGTCGTACTGAAGACGAGGAAAGGCTTCCGCGGCTCCCCGCCCGCTGGGTCAGAGACACCTGGCCGTGAACGAGGCCCCGAGATGGGACCGAAAATACCCACACAGTCTCGGGGAGTCAAAATAAGGCAAGAGCCCATCCCGCGCCAGGGCCAAACGCGACAACGGGCAGGGCCGGCCGGGCTCGCCCGAGCGGCCTTCCACCCGCGCCGCAGCCCCGCGGCGGGAAGCGCCCGGA